GGTTTCCAAAAACTCAGTTTCATGGGATGGAAATCCAGCGTCCTGGCCAGATTTGCTTCTAGTGTGTTTTGTATGGGCCTATGCTTTTAGAAAAGCTATATACAGTATATATTTTATATTTCCTGTTTCTCCTTCATCTGCTGTCTCCCTCTTTCACTTGTGTAGCATTCAATCCTTGTAGGCATATAACTGCCTGTAAGATGTTCACTTCAGAGTCTTCTAACCATCAGTCTCTGTCTGCCCCCCTGTCTTGCCAGATTTCTAGCTGGGCTGGGCTAGGCTGGGAAATGTCTTTCCTAATAACAGAAATGGTGAATCTAAGTCAGGCGTACCTATTTCAAGGTCCTAGAATGTCTCGAGCCAATTTTCAAGACAACACAGTCCAGATGCAATAGCTGGAAAGAAGCCATACATGTTTGTTAGCTTATATAGCAAAGTGACAGCTGATCCCTCTAGATATCTGGACTCTCATTGTCAGGGCTCTTCCAAGTGACAGAACTGGTAGCTTGGAGAACAGCAGTATAATTTTACTTTTGAGGGACTTTCAAGGTGAGTAAAAGGATTTGTGGGTCATACTTTCAAATATCGAGTGCGTCTCCTGCTAGCAAGGAATCTGTTAATCAGCACAGAATGCACATACACTCTCAAAGAGGCTGATAGCAATAACCAAACCCAAGTGCTAATTCTACTGTAAACTGACTGGCTATATTTATATAGAAGCCAGCCTCCAACAATCTGTCTGTTCTTACACTCCACTAACAGGCTTGAGTATCTGAGAATGTAGCAGTCAAGATGTGCTCCTAGGGTGGCATCTGTAATCACTTTTCTTCATGTGATTTGCATCTTGAATGAATGAAAACCCTTATTGCTGCGATCACTGCACTTACATGTAACAGCTGCATCTTGCCTGGATCTCACTCTCTCTCTTACTGGATTTATTTGAGGTCATTTATAATGATGGTCATTGTTACCTGGAGTACAGGTAAACTTGCAGGCTGATAAGAGAGACAAGAGTCAGGTCTGCATTTGGAAGCACCCCTGATGGTCTGAAGAATCTCACCAGAGCCTGCATCTCAGGCCAAAACCCAGACGTTGGTCAGAATGTGTGGTACTCTTGGACCCTGTAAAGACTCCTTATTCTTCTATAACTTGAGTTATCCAAAATGTGAATACCATGTTGCCTCCAACATTTTCATCCAACTCTTTCAGGCTAGCGACAATGAGAATGTGTCTACACCTGCTCTTAAAATGAAGAGATGTTGATAAGGTTATGTGATGCTGCTCATGCTGTGCCCTCTCACAGGTGTGTAGTATTTGGCACAAGCTGTTTGCTACTCAAATAGCACCAGTACACGAGTGACATTCTTTGAAATGACTTGGCAGGTTGGAGGGGGTCCCTGCCTACTCCATGTAGCTACTCCTGCCAAAGACAGATCAGGCTGGAACATCCTACCTACAGCCTCCACTGAACAGTACAAGTTCTCTTGAACCAGTTATTAGAGGCAAAAGCCAAACTCGGCCAACTTCTGGCTGAAAATGAAGCCCATTCGCTTAATGGAGACACCACGTTATTATATAGTAATAAGATGAAGCCAAAAAGATACTATACTCATATGGAATTAATAGTAAAATACGGTTGTTCATTACTTCAATGTTTAATAGCAAAACACAAACATTTTAGTAGAATTCCCAACAGACTAGGTTGAGAATATGTTGCATGATGCTAAGAAGAATAAATTGCAGTAATGTTTTTATAAATAAAGAGACAATTAAAAATAAAAACATTAACGATTGAAATGCAAATTATTTAAGACAAGGTAATGCTAAATACTGCCAAGTTACTTTATATATATCATTGTTTACTAGGTAATTGTTTGATTGGAACTTACAGAAGATAAGGTAAAATTATATGTCAAACCAGTTGCCTGGTATAATTTAGTTAACCTTCGTCCCCATAGCCTACATAATCCAACAGTTATGCTTCTCTAGCAATTCCACAAAAGTGGAGCGCTTTTACCTAGAAAAATCTACTGGACTTCATTGCTTTCTCCTTTTTTGAGACAAGTATGAGCTATATAGTTAACATCAAGGATTTTTAGACTAGAAAATAGGTGTAGTAGCTATGTACAATGTGAATACACCCATAATTTAGCAATCCAAGCACCTGTATAAACACTTGTGATTTTGTGGGAGTTGTTTGCATTGTTTTGTAATTGGAAAAAAAAATTCTGGTCACTATTTAAGCAACCATAAAAGTTATAGCTGTTGACAAACTGGCTCTGAAAACCATAGTCTATGACATTATTCGGAGAGGGCAACTCAGAGAGGGCTATAACCAGGGAACAGAAATAACTCCTGTAATCAAATCCAGTATACAACTTCTCATTGTTCATGGCTGATAAACTGGCAGTCATAACACAGGACAAAAGGTCACAGTACAATACTTCAGATAGTTACTAGGGCATTCTAAGGATGTTTCATATGGCTTTGCAGGCTAGAGTTGTGAGAAAGGAGAGTAACATTACAATACAGAAAATACCAGGTCACTTTAGGAGTCTCATCCTGAATCCATTTTCTGCGCAAGTCTTTTCCTGACTTCAAAAGGTAGTTCAGTCTATGGACAGCCTAAAGAACTGAGTCCTAAATCAATAAATAATCAGCATAAGCAACCTGTCAAAAGCAGCTGTATTCTTTTTTTTTTTTTTTTTTTTTT